TATATATATATATATATATATATATATATATATATATAACATATTTCATTAAACTACTATATGTATTATATATTTGATCAATTCAAAAACAAAAAATAATAATACCCTGGATTCGTGATTCCATATATATTATCCAATTTATTGGAATGTAATCAGTGTATGACAATACAACGTACACACATCAACAAAGCTCCAAATTCTATGGCGGACCATAAGACCACACTACTAGAAAATAGGGTATAGTGACGGAATTTTGTGATAGAAACAATCCCTAACTAATTAGCGACGGATTAGCAACGGGTAAGCCACAAACCCGTTCCGTCGCTAATTAGCGAGGGAATGAGTTTGTGGCCTATCCGTCACTAATTAGCGAGGGATTACTTTCATGGCTAATCGGCAGGTTTTGTATAAAAAATACATGGGAATATGTAATTTTAATTTATTTTTTTAAAATTATAAAAACGAGGACGGATAGCGACGAAAAATCATCGCTAAAAGTTCCCGATCCCTCGCTAATATGTCGCTTAAAAGCCCGTCGCTAATCCGTTGCTAATTAAAGGTTTTTGTCGCTATAAATTTCTCTCACTAATCCGTCGTTGATAACCTTCCATTGCTATTACGTCGTTAAATGTTCCCCTCGCTAACAGCATTATCCACGACCTTTTGACCCACGGATTATCAGCGATGGATCATCAACGAATGGTCCTCAGTTTTGTAGTGTCATCCACTTCAGTGTTTTCATTACGAATTTCTTAAGTGAGACGTAGAAAGAAATTGTGATGTATGGTTGTTGTGAGTATGATTTCTTGATAAGAAATTGTGTTTGATAATGGCTAATAATGTAGGATAGTAGCCGACAGATATAACTTTTGCTTTCATGCATCCTTCCTTTCCACCACATAAACCATGGCAACTAATTGCCACAATAAAGTCTTAAGTTTTTCTGGATATAAATAAATTGCACACTCATATATACATATACATATATATATATATATATATATATATTCATGCTAAGTTCAACTTACATATCCCTTGATACTAGTTAATTTCCAAGATGACTCCAGCTTACGCCGACTGTATGAGAATTTGGCGTGCGTTGGAGCTTGATGCATCTACATCCCATTATATCAATACGACCCTCGATACCAGAGACAGAGGATTGGTGTTGGGTTTCTGCCGAATGATACATGATTTAGAAGAAGGGAAGAGTTATAGCAAACCTATGTTGTGGATCGGCATCTACATAGCGGTAGCTACATTATTGTGTATGTTTCTCATGGTCGCTGATTTGTTCCATGGTTTTCGAAATAGAAAACTCTGGTTTCCATCCAAATATTTCACTCTCAACACTGCTACTATCACCCTCATAACTATCTCAATGAAGCTCCCTGTCGATCTGAGTGGTCAGATGCCGGGCAACTTAGACCAATTAGCCAAGTGGGGAAGCATGACCTTCATGTGTACTATGATGTCTAATTTAATGCCTTCTCTGGCGTCTATGGACAATAGGGAACTTTTTGCAAATGTTACAGGTATGGCCATTCTCGTTATCACAATCGTTGTCAATGTTTCAATCCAGATTGAAACCGGTTTGGTTCTTAACTACTTTGATGACTATGTTTACATAGGCGTAATGCTCTTTTTACTTGTAATAATGATATCTTCGGCATTAACGATTCCAACCTCAAAAAAGATATTGGAATTGAAGTATCAAAGGGTACAAAAAACAACTTCAAGTGGCGTACATCCACAACGTACAAGAATGTCGAGGGTTGAAGAACTAGTACAATATGTGAGAAAATATTGGATGATGGCAGGAACTTCTAGCCCACAGTTTGTTATGATTACCGCTCCACTATGCTCTGCGGCTGGGATAGCTTGTGTGCCTACAATAGCCTGCATTACTATTTCTTTGTGTGCCTCTGGGCATATTCAGGACGAAGAGCTTATTTAGATTTTGGTTCAGATTATGAGTGGTCGATAGTTGTGATCGTCATAATACAAGTCATTGGAATTTTAGTGGGTATCATTGCCCCAGTATTCAGATGCTTTGCAGCCTTAAGTTTCAGATTGTCCCTTAAATGGGTTAAGAAACATACCAAGGTCTGTGAAGTAGAGAAGTACTGGACGCAAAAGTTGTTGGAGTGGAAACAGATTCCTTTAGCTTTTCCATTAAGTGGTCGGATATCAAAAGCTCTTGTCTACAATTTGTATCACCTCATTCTAAACCTTGGCATTACTTGTCAGAAGGTAATTGTGGTATCATGCAAAATAATAGGACTCATTCCACTGGTCACTGTAATTATCGGTGTTTTTTGTGTAAACTGCTGCAAGTCATTGAAGGCAAACTTCTTTCTTATGCCTGTTGCCTCAAATCGTGAAACTGAGCATGCCTTTGAGCAAAATCATGATACAAACCAAGACATTGAAAACTACGTTTTGCAACTTCAAGACGAGATGGAGCTTGGTAGAAGAACACTCAAAAGATTTTCAAACTCGGCAAATCGCTCAATAAAGAAGGGTGAGAAGCAACTGCCTACAAATCTTCTGAAGCTGATTGAGCAATGTACGGGATTCGAAGGAGTAGTGAAATTTGATAGTGAGAACATTCAAGGTCTGATTTGGGTTACATTTCCCAACAGTTGGAGCTTGCCGATAGTAACCTTAACATGCATCGCAATTACACTCCCAAACATCAGTCAGGAGAGTGTTGATAACTTGTTTAAAGGTGTGAGTGAAAGTCTTTCCTATACTCTTCTTGTTGAAGAAAGCCTTAACAACGTAGGTGAATATAAAAAAATTCATAAAGCAACTATGGAGTTGCGGCAAGAGGTTGAAGTCAACTACAAGTGGTTGGGGAACACGCTCCAAAGAAATGCCTATAAAGAAAAAAATCCAAAAGAGATTCTTGAATGGTTTGCTGATAAAGCAAAGGACATTGCAGTAGAAATGAACGAACACATCAATGAGGAACCGTTCGACAGCTATTGTGACAGGTTGGTTGTTGCCGATTCGATGTATCGCGTGACACAAACAATCATGGTTAACTACCCTGATGACATCGAAGACGGCAGAGGAGAGCAACTGTTTTACCTGCTATCTAGCATGATTGTAGACATAGCGGTTGCTTGTTTTACCAACTTACCACGAGTCATAGTAATGAAATGCCAGGACGATGCAATTGAGAAACGAGAGGCTAGTGTTCGGGCTGCAGCGGAGCTTCTTGGTAGTACTAAGACGATAATAGAAAAAGTTGATGCGTGTGAAGTACCAAACCTGGATCCTGAGCAAATGGCATTTATTGACGAGTGGCGTCTTCATTTGAAGCAATCAATCCCTTAGAATGTACATGCATATATATTTTGTTATGTTTTAACAGGTAGATGTCACTCTGGCATACTTTTTATAATGTATGTGCAGTTTTGAGCCGACAACTGGTAAATAGTCGGACAAGCCTATAATTGCTACATTAGACAATATTTGATGAAAAAGATTGTCCATGTTCAAAAGGTTATTGCAAAACTTAATGGACCATTCACTCTGACAACCACCAATTTGTTCGGCAAAATCAAGACAAAAGTTGTTGACTATAATGTAATATGAAATGGAGGAAACAAATATGAGGTGATTGGACCTTGACAAGATCAATGTACTGTCGATGTTGAAGAGAAAAGTTACCTGTGTAGGCGTTGGGAGTTAACGGGGATGCCATGCAAGTATCTTGTCGCATCAAGTTGGTTCATGGCAATGAATGGAAGAGAACTAGGGCTGCCTTAGAATTGGGTGGAGCCATGTTACTAGCTTGCAACATGGTAGAATGTTTACGCTTTCTAATTTTCTTTTTAAATTGGAGTTGGTTTAATTCTTATGCGTTCGTCTCAAGTTTCATGAATTGATACAACGTCTGTTATTTGGGTTTAATATAAAATAATAAAAAGAACAAAAATTAACGCTAGAATGGTAATTTATATTATTAAGACCTTTCATTCAAAATGATAATCGAACAAGATTCACCTTTTAATAATTCAGATGTTGCCTTTTTAATGAAACTGTTAAAAGGTAAACAAACATCACCAAAGTTTGTTTTGTTGGTTTTTTTTTTCCATCCCTTGCTTGTTTTGACCCATCGTTTAACATATCGGACCCATTTCTCAACGTTAAAACAGTAATGGGCTTAAATCAGTATTTATCGGCCCAATTCGGTTCGGGCTTCAAGCCTGTCCCGTTCAGTTCAATTGTAAACCCTAGGTTTATAATCGTTTCTTCAATACAATTTGCTTTCACAGTAGGATTTCCCCAGGGAAGAAGCAGCGGTTGTGGTCAGTGTTCTTCGTCCCCTATACACTACCGGCAACCATGGCGACTCAAATGAGCAAAAAGAGAAAGGTTAGTCTCATCCATTACTGTTACAAGTTGGTGATACGTGTGCTTTTCATAGATCCTTATTGTGATTTGCTTTTGCCTATCAGTTTGTAGCTGATGGCGTGTTCTTCGCTGAGTTGAACGAGGTCCTTACCAGGGAACTCGCGGAGGACGGCTACTCTGGCGTTGAAGTTAGGGTTACGCCTATGCGAACGGAGATCATAATCAGGGCCACCCGTACCCAAAACGTTCTCGGTAAAATTCTAATCTCCTTACCTTAAACGTAATTGTCAATTCATAAAATAAATTTATTGAATTTAGGCAAGTGATGATTTATCGATAGGACAAACATGAAGTAGATTCGCAATCTGCATCTGTTTAACAAGATGAACAGGCATTTGATTTCATAAACTTGGTTAATATGTTGTTCTAAACATATTTGTTTCATGATATTGGCTATACACGGAATGAAAATTTTATGAGAAAGGGATTCAATCTCATTGAAGTCACCACATTCATGTTTTCTGCTACTATTAAGGAACATAGTAAAGTGTGCCAAGGATTAATGATCTTGAACAAGTCAGCGGTTAACTATGTATGACCAATATGCACAGCAGATGTACCTAGTACCTACTACAACTGCCTCAAGCTATCGTAGTGTAAGCTTTACCTGTTGTTTTCATTTTGAGCCTGAATCTATATCTCATTGTGACCCCCTGGTATTAACTCTTTATCCATATCAACTAAGCTGTTAAGATGGAAACATTAGCATCTTAACTTGTTATCTACAAGTTTCTGTTTCTCTGTTTTCATATAGTTGTTGTTAAGTTCTTATTGATTGTTAGCATGGACAAAATTACCACCAAGACATTTTAACATCATGGTTATTTGCTTTTGAACCTGATTTTACAGGTGAGAAGGGCAGGCGAATAAGGGAGCTGACATCTCTTGTTCAGAAGCGTTTTAAGTTCCCTGAAAACAGCGTGGAGCTTTATGCTGAAAGAGTCAACAACAGAGGGCTATGTGCCATTGCTCAGGCCGAGTCTCTGCGTTACAAGCTTCTCGGAGGGCTTGCTGTCCGCAGGTTTGTAAATCATCTTTTTCATTCAACTGCTAATCCATCGACATTATGTTGTTATTTTAATTTGATTGCAATGGAATTATAGTGGCATGTGCAACATTTTTTAGGTTTTTTTGGTTCTTACTTTATATCGTTTTTCCCGTCATTGCCTTAAAAAAACGTCATGCCATTTTGCTAGTTAAAGCACATTTGTTACCACTGGATATATATATCTTTTTTTTAAGAAGCAAATTTTTCGTTTTAAGCTTGAAAGAAAGTATCCGTGAGGCAGATGATGACTATTTTATTTTTTTAAATCAGGACCATTTTCGTATTTCTTTGTTGCTCTCAAGTACAAATCAATGAAGATCATTCTTTTTTGTTTGAGATTGTTCAAAATGATTGGTTTCTTGTTTTTTGTTCCTCTAAACATGTACATTCATTGCTGATAGTTATTGTACTTAATAGCTATAATCCAGATTGAGTTTGATAAAACTGTATCAGCTGACATTCCATATGGCTGTTTTTAGGGCTTGCTATGGTGTTCTGAGATTTGTTATGGAGAATGGAGCAAAGGGGTGTGAGGTATGTAAATATATAATATGATTATGCTTCTATTATCCCTCCCAACACGTTTCTTTTCTTATGCCGTTCATCACTCCTAGGTGATTGTTAGTGGAAAGCTTAGAGCTCAGCGTGCGAAATCCATGAAGTTCAAGGATGGGTACATGGTATCATCTGGTCAACCTGTCAAGGAGTATATCGACTCTGCTGTGAGGCACGTCCTTCTTAGACAGGTAAACACATATCCTCACTGTCGTTTCTTTTCTAATAACGATGGATGTTTGGCCCAGCTTGTGCCCATTTTGCTAAATCCATGGGGGATTTGAAAGTTAACAGCTGGGAAAAACCTTTTCGTGTTCTAGATGGGACTCAAACTAGTGACCATTTGGGAGCAAATCCTATCATTTATACAAACAAATAACCGCATGTGCAGGGTGTTCTTGGTATCAAGGTTAAAATCATGCTCGACTGGGATCCTACGGGCAAGCTTGGCCCGAAGACGCCTTTACCCGATAACGTCATAATTCACATGCCTAAGGACGATGTTGTCGTGCTCCCACCCAAAGAAGTCGAGGAATATAGGCCACCACTTGTGGTTGCCGATGAGCCTTTGCCCATGCCAATGGCAGTACCCGTCTAAAACAAGATTAGTAGAAAATCTATGTGATGGCTAGACTTCCAAGTTATGGAAGATAAATTTTTCTGTCTGTTGAGTTTGCTTGGACAAGCTTTTTTGTTTTTGGAATCTGGACTGCTGTTGAGATCATGAAATTTATGTTTATTACCAAAATTATTTGTTTCATTGGAACTTGTAGTTTTTGAACTCTGGTAATTACTGATGGTTTTGAACTTGTGTCTACTTCAAGTAGTTTGGAGTCTTGTGGTTACATTTATTAGTTCATATCTACGGATATGTGTGAACATTCTATAGGCATGGCAATAGGGCGGGGCTTGATCCCGGTCCTAGTGGGTACGGGGATTATTATCCTGTCCCTGGTCAATCTCTAGCAATATTCAGTCAAAATCCGGTAAAACCCCGGTTAAACCCCGTAAATAGTATCCTTTATTTTGATTTTACCGAGAATCCCTGGCCCTGGTTTGAGTAACATCCCCTGTCCCCGGTTTGTGTCAAATGGGGATCCCTGGCTTGGGACCCGTTTTAGCGGGAAATCTCCGTCTCCATTCGGGTCGGGTGAACTGGGTTCCCCACCGGATCAGGGAAAATCATCATCCCTAATATTCTATATATAGATAGAAGCGATCAATTGCAAACTACTCTTTTTTGTGCAAATTATACAAACCGATCTTATCCATTCGTTTTCTTAATCAATGGTCATGATTAAAATGTGTTATATTAGGAAAGTAAAAAAAAAAAAAATCTTGAAAAAAGGGCAAATTTGATAAATCACCCATATCTATACTATCTTATTAAGTAAATTTAGCAAAAGTTTTAAATTCTTAAAATTTTAAATGACCAAAATACCATTTATACTTACTTTTTCATTTTTCCACCCCCTCCTCTCCTCACATCACATACACTTACCCTCTCACATACATTACCAATTATAATTTTAAATTTACACTTTATATTCCTATAATTAATTAATTAATTGACTTACGTGATTTACTTTTAAATGTTTCATTTTAAATCTTTATCAAATTAACATACATAATCGTATATCAATTAAAACATGTTTAAAAAATACATTTTTATTTTAACAAGTTACACCATTAAAATCGTCTCATTAATACCTTCGAAATGAGTCTAATATTGAATAGTTTTTGACTTAATTATATTATTATATATTATATATACTGTGAAAAAATATTTTTAATATTTACGATTTATACTTTTATAATTATTTATATATATATATATATATACTATATATTTTGGGGTTAGGCTGTCCAAATTGCACTGTATAATATGTTTTGAATTAATATGTTATTGGGTTTTTTTGAAATATATATATATATATATATATATACATATATTAATTCAACCTTAATATAAGTTTCTGGACAAGAAAGAGGGTAAGCAGTTGAAATTTAATTCTAAAACCCATTTTTTTTTTGTCTTTTCATGGCTTATTATCTGTCAAATTTGTAGTTTTCTTTATTGGTTTTGAGTGTTTATCTTAAAACTCAATTTTCTTGGTTCTTTGTTCTTGGTGTAAATCGAATACATTTGTGGAGTCGTTTAAATATGTTGGATTTTAAATATATTGGATTTTAAACTGTCATACAATTTTTTTCATCGATAATCTGTAATTGGAACCATAACTCTTATTTATTCAAATTGTATTAATATGTAAAGACCAAGTGTAACATATATCATCGTTAAATCTTATCTTATAAAACCAGTAGGACTTCAAAATCGTTAAAATTCATGGCTCACGCCGCATTGTGCGGGTACACAACTAGTGATTCCATAAATAAAATAACATTTACATTAAAAATGGATCCAAGTAAGAAACACTCATACTAGATATATTGTAATAAATTATGAAACAGAAGTATATTTTAATCAACAAAAAATAATGAAACTTTTTGAATACTAAAGAAAATATTTGTTTCATCAAACGAATAAATGAAACTGTTACATCATTTTATTGAATGAACCATTTGAATGATATATGAAACTCCTTGTCACCTACAATGAAAGATGGACATTTGACATGTAGTAGTGAACGATGTATGAAACTATTTCATTATCGGTTATATGTGTAGAATTTGACTCTTAATAATTTCTAATCAAACTAATTTTAAAACAAGAAATACCCTAATAAACGATGAAACATATAAAGAATGAAACATTTTTGAAAATTGAATGAAACATTTTGAAAACTGAATACTTTATTTTCGTAAGTTAAACTTTTTCATGCATAAAATGTTTCGAAATATTAATAAATTAAATTCATAAATGAAATTATGTTCATGGTCACTATTGAACATGACATTTCTTTCATTATTGAAACTATGTATATTTTGTCAATGAAACGAAATCAGATTTCATATTGTACTTCTTTTACAATTCATATTTTAAGAGTATAATTTAATAAAATAATATAAACTATTAATGGTAATAATTTTATATTAAAAACAATTGATTTACACCGTTTATTGAATGAATAACGTGACTCCTTGTCACCTACAATGATATATGAAAATATTTCATGAAGAGTATCACACTGTTAATTATTTTTAATCAAATTTATTTTAGGAGTATAATTATTAAATTCATATTTTAGGAGTATAATTTAATAAAATAATAAAATTATTAATGATAATAATTTATATTAAAAACATTTGATTTACCACCTTCTATATTAAAGGTTTTTATATTTACATTTCTATAGTTAAGAATAATTATTACCTTCCAATATTTAACCAGTATACAATCAAATAACCATTATACCCTTTGTTATTAAAATTAAAGAAAAAAACGGAAATTTCCTATTAGTTGAAAATGGTTTGCAAAGTTTTTACGAATCGGGCGGTTTGTAATCTAACCGAGAGAGAGAGAGAGAGAGAGAGAGAGAGAGAGAGACTTGGGATCATGTGAGACCAAGGTTTTTCGTGGGACTCGTAATACCAATTTTCAACCATTGGATTAGATCTACAATCTAAACATTCATAATCATAAAATTACCACGAGACTTCTCAATAATCACAAAATTGCCACGAGAATTCTCAATAATCACAAAATTGTCATCGTGCAACTTTAGACCATTAGATCATTAGCTTATAAAGTTGATCAATGAACATAAATTGGTCTTACGGGTCTCACGAAAACCATTTTTGAAAATGTATAATATTATATTGGTGTAGTCGTATTAGTATAACAGTGATTGCAAATTTGATATAATACATTTAGATTTGTTTGATAATTTTTGAATGGTTTAGTGTAAAATTTTAAATGATCAAAATGATTAAAAGACTCTTATAATATAATGAAAAATGAAATACAATTGTTTGATAATTATTTAAGATGAAATTAAGGTACTGAATGATTAAGGAAAGTCTAGAGTACAAAATTATTTAAAAGATTTTAAAACCATTAAAAAATAAAAAAAATTTACAACTAAAATTTATTTTTTAATAAACTATTAAAAAGTAAAAAAACAATCACTTTTCAATTTTAAAAGATGAAGAAACACCAAGGCCCAAAGGGGTGTTATGCCCAAGCCCAGGTTGAGGTCCACAGGCCCAATAGTCTTTTGATCTCAGAAGTGAAATTGGTTCTGGGACTCGTCTCTCATGGTGGTTTTTCTCTTCTAATACCTAATCGACATCGTCTCTCCGATCTCGCCTTATCGACTCTCGCCGTTTGTCTCCGGTAACTATACATCTCTCTTTATCCTTCCTCATTCGAATTTCTGTGAATCCAACCTTTTCGTCTTTCTATCCACATCGAAACGAAAACAAAATTAGGGTTTTAAAATGAATTTAATCTCATTATTTGTTTTATACTCTATGCATCCGAATGGAAGCTCCTTTGCTTCTTCAGGGAGCCAGTGCTCCCTAAGCGGTTCTTGTTAATTACTTAAATGAGTCCAACTCTATCTGAAACCTGCCTTTGGATTTTGCTAGTGTCTCCCTTTCTTAGCTAGGTTGTGATTTCTGACATGTTTCGATGTGAAATTTACTTGGATTTTTTTATTAGAAATTCGACATTAATCATACGTGCACTTATGTTGTAGTTTTTTTTTTTTGAAAAATTCAAATTTCATATCTATTATGAACTCGAGGCTGATTCTTTTGATCCTCAATCTTAAACTGCAGCTCTTACTAAGGGGGTACTTTGTAATCTGTTAAGAGTGGCCATTGTTTCCAATCGTTTGCCTTTCTAGTTACCTGGGATACTCAAACACTACGTCAACAATTATGTAACTCTAGTTTTGTTAACAAGGGAAAAGTCTGAAATAGAGATAATGCATCATGTACTAAATTTAACTTTATTTGTTCTCTCAAACTGCCTCTACTGTCTATGAATTTTCTTGCTCTTAAGGAGGCTTGCATCGTTGAACATAGTTTGTTTGTTAAACATTAATGTTGTTATCTCATATCCATGAAAGGGTATGCTCCAATTTCTCAAATACCTGTACAGGTCCGCCCCATACTGGCAGCATTCAATCTAAATAAACTTGACCATGCGAGTGATTAGAGCATGAAATGCTATGGAGGAACTGGGGACTATGCCATTTATCTTTTAAGAGTGTAATATTTGGTAGCGAGCAAAGTAACCACTATGCTCAACATCTAGTTTTTTCATTCATTTAATAGTGAGTTGTGATCATCAGGAGAGAAATGTGTGTCAATTCACGTTCTTTATACGAAAACAATCTGTTTTAATGATAACTTTGGTGGTTGGGATATATTTGCCCTTTTGAGCAATATAATTTTTTGTGGGTATCATGCTCTCATTGTTCTTACTTGTCTATTTTAGATCTTAATGTTATATAAGGGTGATAAATAGCAGGATATGTGTAGTGTTCAGCATGTTAGTCCCTTTTTTTTTTGTCATAACGTCTTTCATCCCTAATCCCTCTGCTCATAATGATTAGCATCTTAATGGACAAGCATTCCTACATTACAATCTCCATTCCTTACCTGCTGTGAGCCTCTGATCAATGTTGGTCTTCCTCCATATCACACTTCTATAAAAACAAAGTTATGATCCTCCATTATGTTTAACGGACGTATCATTTGCTACCCACTAGTCCTAGGACCATCACCGCCACTATTGCCATGGCCACTGTTGATACCTAACTAGTTGACAGATGCTATTAGCACCATTCTTACCATTACTAGCTATAAAACCCTCTGAGCTACCTTTTCTCTTAGACTTTGGGTTGATCGTCTCCATTATATCTTTTGTTTTTTTAGTTTAACTTTTTTCAATTGGTTCACTTGGATGTCTTTTTTCTTCGTCTTTTCTAGTGCGGAGATTGTATTGTTATTTCGATTGATAAACCTTTTAATGTTAATGGATTGATAAATGGATCCGCAGCTTCTTCCTAGCTTAAATCATAAAGATCCCGAATTATTTGGTTCAAGCCTACTAAAAAGTTTGTGTGGTAGGGTTTGACTTTTGTGGTCAAATGAGTGAATTTAGGGTTTGAATATTAATAGGAAAACTAGGTGTCTCTGCTTAGCTGTGAAAACTATCACCAACTACAAAGTTCTTTTATAATCAAATTAAAATTGAAATGACTTCATAGTTGGACTCTTATCGGTTGTTAATTTTTTCATACAAGTCAAAATGTATCTCTAACCTTGGAATGGTGGTGGTAAATCTTGACTAATTGCTGTTGTAACCTCATTGGCACAACAGCTAAAGAGTTACTAGCTGGAAAATGGGTGCTAAGCTAAATAAGGGTTCTAAAAGGGGCACCTTGGGGTAGTTTCCCTGTTACAATAAGGCCTATGGCATTTGTGTAAGGCGTGCAAAAATTTATTTTTTTTAAATTTAGCTTTAGTGTTTTTACGCTTTTAACTTTAGCTTTTACACTTCTACATATTTACCTAATCACATCACTCACAGTTTCATGGATTCACACACTTCATGGGCCCATGGTTAAAACGAAATTGTAAAACCCCTTCAAGTTCTAATATCTGAACAGACTCTTTATATAATGCTAATATATATGATATTTCTTCTAATATAAATGTAAATTTTTTAATATCATTGTCTCATTCAATAGTAAATAGAAAACATATATGTATATGATATAAAAATTTGCCTCCTTATGTCACGCGTTGAAAAACGTCGCGTGCTCTCCTTGTCATTTAAGGGTTGAGGCTTGAACTCACCAGCATGCCACGTCTCACGCCATATAGAAGCTTGATCTAAATCATGTACAAGCACATTTAAACTCAAAATTGGTTAGAAGTCCGAAAGATAATTGAGATTTGACATTCAATTTTAATTTGTTACTTATTGTTCGAATGGATATTATTCAAATTTGAATGCATCCACATTCTTTTACGGAAAGCAATAAAAAGCAACTGAAAATAGCCAAGGTATTTGAAATAGTCTGGGACGAAAAACAATGGAACATTTCCATTTAAAACCTAAAAGAGTTGACTAGGATAGAAGCATAAATTTATGATTTTTTTCACATATAATACAACTGTCATTCATACTTCCGAACAGAAACTGGACAAAGTATGATTCATCTCCACAATATTACAGAATCAAGATGACAAAGTACATATCTTTGCTTGATTGTGGAATAATATTGCAAAGCTAGAATATGGTAAGCCTGCTACGAGGTAGACTGTGTTTGAGAAAGAGTGAGAACATAGGTAGCATAGAAATACGATAATTTGGTATGGATGCATGTTAGTTTGTTTTGGATTTAGGTTTAGAATATTATATTCAAGTATTGGCTTTATAATGTATTGAATTCTCAACTTAGGAGCTGGCTTATACATGCTTATATATAAACTTAGTATACCCATTTGCTATGTTAAGTTAAAGTTCAAATCTGGATTCGATTTCAAATAACCAGATACGAATTGATCAAGGCAATTTGTTAAACATTATGTTGAATTGGATATAGCACTATATTAAACAGCCGGCGAATGTTGGAAGAACCCAAATTCACATTTATATAATCAAATACGGACAATTCTAATCATGAATTGAATTCAGTTTATTATCAGATTTACTGGTTACAAATTAGAGACCTAGGATTGTTGATCACATCGATTCATTTTAGTAAATAATACCTCGTACTTTTCTGGCTTTTGTAGTGCTTGATGTTGGTTATATAGTTTGCGATTTTTCGTGAGATAGGAGCACAATGGCAAACTACTCAGGAAAGGGAGCCCCTGCAAATGGATCTGTGTATGTTTGTAATTTGCCTCCTGGGACGGATGAAGACATGTTAGCTGAATACTTTGGCACGATTGGCTTGCTAAAGGTATGGGTTCTAAAAAGGTATTTCTTTACTTGCATGTTTGTTTGTATTGTTGCATAATAGCTCGTATACTTTTTGAAATTTTGCGACTTCATTGTTCTTTATGTTTCCACTGTATAGAAAGATAAAAGAACCGGCCGACCAAAGATATGGTTATATCGGGACAAGGTGACAAACGAGCCTAAGGGAGATGCTACAGTGACATATGAAGATCCATATGCTGCACAAGCTGCTGTAGAATGGTTCAACAATAAGGACTTTCATGGGGCCATCATCGAAGTTCTCATGGCAGAGTCAAAAAATTCACATAATGTTGTAGCACCTCTTGTTGAACCAAGTTTGGTCGATGATGTTGTTGATCTGGAGGAAAGTGCCAAGGACATGAGTGAAAACGCAGGAAGAGGTAGAGGTCGTGGTGATGCTTCAGGAAGTGCTCCAGCAAAGGCATGGCAACAAGATGGGGACTGGATGTGTCCGAATACAAGGTCTGTGATATGACATTGGTGAGCAGCTCCATCTGGCTAATTTTTTACGATGTATTTCACTCTGTAATAAATTATATTTCCCAATTACTATCTTATGTGCTATTTCGGTAGCAGTTGTTCGAATGTGAACTTTGCATTTCGTGGCGTATGCAACCGTTGTGGAAGTGCAAGACCCGCTGGTGCTTCTGGTGGAGGTGCAGGGGCTGCTGGTCGGGGTAGGGGTCGTGGTGGCCCTGATTCAGGAGGCGGTCGTGGAGTTGGTGGTCCCACAGGCCTTTTTGGTCCTAATGATTGGCCTTGTCCAATGTAAGTAAATAACAAGTAAAAACATTGAATTTGATTATATGGAAGTGGCAGTTGTAGCAGCTCTGTTTTAAAATATTTATATCATTGTTCCATGCACACTGATTTTGGTTTATTTTCTTATCTTGTTTTCGAAGAAGGGGTGAAGGTTATTCTTCCTAGGATGTGAAGTTGTGAACAGATATACCTGACTTTGTGCATTATTTTTCAGTATTATATAGTATCTATCTATTCGGGCTAGTGGCTGAAAAGTAATTGATCACGTCAAATGCTCTGTTAACATTTACTTTTGGTTTTATCATTTCTACATTTCCTTGCCTCGAGTTGGTATATGATATGACATTTTCATTTAGCTTATCATCTTGTGGCATTCCTTTGTATTCTTTTCATATGGCGTTCTTTCGTTAGTGTGGCATTTTGAGAAATTTTTTCTTTATGGTTGAAAATCCTTTTGTGATTTAAAATTATAGTTGTGCTTTGGAATTATATGAACTTTTGAAATGTAATGAGTGTGACGGTCTGTACACCACTCAGTAGTTACATTTGTGACAAGACTACTATAGACATGTATAGAAAATAGTTCCTGCTGTTGTATGAGGCAAAAATTTGCAGTCACTCAGATAATGGTTATCACATGCACATAAGTTTGCATATATGTGTACATGCTAATCAATTAAGATGAAGATGTCAACAGCAATAGATTTTGTAATTTATATAGTTGAGGTATAAATTTAGTCCCTGAAAATTTGAAAAGCTAGTAAACAGACATTATCTTCGTATATGATCACATTGGCAACTTCTTATGCTTTGATTTTTTTTCGCAGGTGTGGTAACATCAACTGGGCAAAGCGCTTAAAATGCAACATCTGCAACACCAACAAACCTGGTGTTAGTGAAGGGGGTGTGAGGTATCATGAATGAATTGTAACCTTCTCTTTCGTGTATCTAATTGGTAATAGCAAAGCACCGTATCGACGTAGGAAATCTATGTTCATTGTTTTCCTCTTTCCATAAAAATGTGTAGGATGGGGTATGTGGGTTCATTTTTGCACATTTGCCATGGAAGCTCTCATGGCTAATGCATATTTTTGACATCAAGAATAGTTGAGCTATTATTTTTGTCATCTCTAGTATATTCTATTAGACTGTATGGCCTCACAGTTTCTCTAAGATGGATTTATTGTTTACCTAGTTTGTAGATTCTTTGTAAACCACTTTTTAACTTATCTGCAAACAAAATCATGAAGGTTTTTTTTTTCCGCATCTTTTGTATGTAGACCTGACCTCTACCTTCGAGATATAGTAGGCAAATACTTAAACCTGTTTTATTGTACGTATCTACAAAACTCTGGCAATTTGGGAAAGATTTACTTTTTATCAAAAGGTCAATTAAAGACTATTCTTCGTTGTTTGTAGAGGAGGACGTGCTGGTGGGTACAAAGAACTTGATGAAGAAGAACTAGAGGAAACAAAGCGACGCAGGCGGGAAGCTGAAGAAGTAAGATCATTTTTCTACAGTTACAGAAGTCGTGTTTTGCAATGCAGGTCCTCACTTCTCATCATGTAATTTCAGGATGATGGTGAGATGTACGATGAATTCGGAAACCTCAAGAAGAAGTTTCGTGTGAAAGCACAGCAAGCTGAAGTTGGTCAAGTGTTACCTGGAACTGGACGGGCAGGCTGGGAAGTTGAGGAGCTAGGTACTGCTTTATAGTTTTCAATGTTTTTTCGAGTTATTCTTAACAAACTTAAAGAAATATAATCTCTATTTGTTTTAACTATTTGGCTGTATGTAACTAGTAATCTTGCTTGCAAAACCTAATTAAGTAGGTCTGTGTACTGTTTGGATCACTCATTTTTCTAGATCCTCTAGCTGGATATGCCGTTTGTTCTTATTCTCACTTTTTCACTCATGGAAATAACCGTTCTACCCCTACCTCCCGACCCTGCTTTCAAGTGAGATATACTGGGTTCGTTTGGTTTAGTTTGAAGTTTCTGAAAACGTGGTGGGTATTGCAGGAATGAGTGATAGAGAACGAAGAGAAAGAAGCAGAGACAGAGGAAGAGAAAGGGAGGAAAGAGAAAGCAGCAAGAACAGAGAACGACGTCGGAGCAGAAGTCGTGACAGGGGAAGGGAAAGAGAGCGGGCTTACGATTACGATCGAGACAGAGAATACGGTCGGGACAGGGACCGTGATCGTGGTCACAGGTATCATCATTAATTATTATTATCATCATCATTAATAGAGAACAAGTGTTTTCAATCAAAGATTATTGGGAGAGTGGTTCCTTTCTGGTTCTGTATTAGCAATGTGAAGTACTTGTATCCTTGGATTCTTGATTCTTTTTGCAAACAAAAAATTATGACTTCAATGGAATGTTATCCAAGTTACTATTAGGTTCCCGCGAGAATTCCGCTTTTTTGTGGCCTTCGATTGCTTTTGATCTGATGGCACGTGTTTTTATGAAGGACGGGCAATTTTATCTTTTGGTTTTTTGTATCTCGGCACGATCTGGTATGTTAACGTATGTGAGGTATCTTAAAATTCATGTTTATAACCACAGAGTGGTGCCCGATTGGTTTGAGGTCTTAGGTTCGAATACGGTGACTCCAGGCTACCTGCGAAGCGTGTGGTCGTTTTGGGATTAGTCGGCTCGCATAGTGGGTCGGATATCCAGGTTCATTAAAAGAAAGTCATGTTTATTGCCAAATTTTATTTAGGTTAATTGAATTTGGATTGAATTGTTGGACGGCTCGCAACATGACTTTGTCTGGAGGGAATGCTACACATAAGGTTTTCATGACTTTATGAACCAAACGTCACATTCAACTTGGGGCTAAGCGTTTAGTGGCAATAGTCCAACGTATGATTTATCTTATCGGGTAACATTTTTGGTCATTAAAATAGATTATTGGTAAGCATCTTTTATCCTGTAAGCGTTATCATTTATCAGGTAAGATTTTTGGTTCTTGTTATGTCTTTTACTGGGTAACATTTTTGGTATTTAACGTACTCATCCGGTAACAATAGAAACCCCTGATAAATGTTTGGTAAATGGTCTCTTATTCGTGAAAAATATAATGTCCATGCCACAATTTTTAATGAATAATATTACTATCCATCAAATTATGAGAATCATGAGAACACAAGCTTTTAAGTAATATCGACTACTAGGTCAAATAGTAAATTTGAGATAATTTGTATTGATTATTAAATACTTACTGGGTAAATACTTACCAGGTCAATTATCTTATCGGAATAATTGGATTAACATGTCAAGGACCGATACTCCGTGCGGTAAGAGACTAGGTAAGGAACAAGAGTTTTACCCAGCAAGCGAGGGTGACGACGTTTATCGGAAAAGGTCGTCGTCTACGATGCCATTATGATGCCCAAGAATCTTATAACGTTTAGGTTCCGATACATTCTTGATTGTAGTACTTTTTCTCAAATGACATTTTTATGTACAAGGTTAAATCTATGTGAGAATTAATTCCTTCTTTTTGTGAGAACCGTCGGAACACCTTCGGATTCGTTGATCAGACAGAGCTTATCGTGCACGTTTTTGTAAATGAAAGAGACTTCTGTTTGATGTTTTGGATCTGGGAATGATTTGATTGATTTTTGTGAAGGTATGTTAAGTTCCGTTATTGTTTTTTTTTTTATGAAGGTTTCGATAGTTAAGGTATTTGAAGTTCAGTGAATGTGTATGCGGGTACGTGAAGTTACAATGTTTTTAATATAAATATTAGTCTAAGTTGAGTGTTTTTCAGGTTAAACAGTTAAGTTGTGTGAAAGACTGAAATTATATGCAAGTTCATGTTTTTCATGCAAAGTTATGTTCAGGTTTCGTCTCCCTTAAAGCCAAACCGTTGAAGGTCCACTTATGTACAAAAGTGTCACTAACGATCATTAAATCATTAAAAAAATGCAACGACTAAGAAAGAAAAAGTCGTTACGTAATCCCAAATCTTTCGTTATTATATAATTTTATACGATTAAGAAAAATCATAAGACTATGATGAATCACAATAATTGATTTGGGATTTTTGTTGTTGATGATTGATTTAGGTTCCTGTCTTCCTCATGCCTAGTTATTTTCGGAATGTTTCTTCATTATTGAAATCATCATTAAACATTCAATTATGCACACACATATATATATATGGTTGGGTTCACGTGAGACCAACCTGTTTTCGTGAGACCCGTGAGACCACATTTTTACACATAAACTTCACAGCAAAAACGCTGTAAAGGTTTAAAAAAAGTCTAATCTTCACAGCAAAAACACTGTGAAGGTTTTAAAAAGTTACCTTCACAGCATTTTGCTGTGAAGTTTCAAGTGTAAAATGCTGGTCTCACGGGTCTCACGAAAACAGGTTGGTCTCACATGATCCCAAGTCTATATATATATATATATATATATGCATGTATATATATATGTATGTATATATATATATGTATGTATATATATTAGAAGGGTATTTGCGCAATCCAGTGAAATATAATTTGATTTTAATATTTTGTTTTATTATTTAACTTGGTCGATTTTATTATATGGTCTTATTTGATTTTGAAAAACCGATAATGTTTTTATTTTTTTAATAAAATATAATTTGAAGATATCATAAAAATTTGACAAAAATAATATGATATTAATATCAAATTCCTCACTTTTTTGTGTAATTTTTAATTTAATAACGAAGTAATTTATATTTGGTTTAATAATATAATTTTCTTATAAAGATAATAATTAATTATTTTGTCATAATTATCCTAATTAAATTTTAGATTTTTTATATTTTAAAATGAGATGTTTATCCTCTATTTGATTATGTTTATCCGCAGTTAGTTACACGAATTCAAACATGAAGCTTTAATAAGTTGTACTAGTGCATAATTTACTTGTAATCTTGAACTTTAAGTAATATGCATCAATATATAATACTTCATGCATAAAAAATGGTTTTTAAGAGTTTTTGTCAAATGCTTTATAATATAGTATAGATATGGTTGGATTCACGTGAGACCCGTGACGCCACTTTTTTACACTTGAAACTTCACAACAAAACGTTGCGAAGGTAAAAAGAAGCCGAACCTTCACAACGTTTTGCTGTGAAGTTTACGGGGCTCACGTGATTCCAAGTCTATATATATGTTTGCTTTTCCGATTCTATAACACTGTCAACTCAATGCAATATGCTATCCGTTTGATTCATCGCGATCATCATATACCTTTCTTTTCATGGCCTCTTGTTTCGCTAACGAACCTTATTTTAATAAAGATGAAGAAAACGTGAAACGATGACGTACAAGTTATATCAAGCTATTGAACAGTCATTGGTTCAACAATATCTGGGTTATCGATATCCTTTTAGAGGGTCAAAGAGTTTCAAATTTTACAAAATATATCGATTATGCATTTAGTGTTTACTTCAAAAAACGTTATATGAAAATGGAAAAAGTGTTGTAGTTGTCCACGAGGAGTACAAACACTGGTGCTTCTTTTATGTAAATTTCAAAAGATGTAAAGACCGAATAATTTATATGTACTATAAGGTTATGATGCTTGTGTGACGGTACATCATATAAACTGTGTATGAAAAAAAAAAAACAATCGTAAATGTGCCATATATGAGACAACTGTGTATAAACTTGAAATTTGAACCCAGTTCAATAAATTCGTAAATGATTGTACGTGTACATGTATAGATATATACAGAGTTGGGTTACGATAAGAATAAAAGTTATGGTGAGAAGGGTAATAAGCGATTTCCACGCATGGATCAATCTTAATTGAAGATCAACAGTAATGAAATGTATCGAGATGCATCGAATCAGTTCCCGTGAGAAGTGCGTTTCCTGGGGTGAGTGAGATTGAAAGTGATCAAGAATCCAAATTTATTCTTACGCTTCTCACTTTAACTTCTATTTTCACACGATCTTTCGTGTGTATAGATATTGGATAGAGAGCAAGTGGTCAATTATTTGTGGATACTGATTTTTGGAATCGAAATTTATATGGATTTTTTGTTGAATAATGATAACGTGTGTGTAGGTTTCTTTCTTTGAAAGTTATGACACGATAATAATATATAGAGTGAATTACGGGTCTCATGAAAAACCCTTGGTCTCACCCTTGGTTTCTTTCTTTGTGATTATGAATGTTCAGATTGTATATCTAATTCAAAGGTTGAAAATTGGTCTTACGGGTCTCATGAAAAACCCTTGGTCTCACATAATCCCAAGTCCATCTTGATGTTTGCAAATTTCTTGTATTTCATCCTTATCATTAACGACGGTTAAGTTTACGTTAACCCGAGTTAAATATACCCCATTTTAGTTAATTTACCACAAATAAAATCAAAATTTTGAAGTAAAAAAATTAGGAAAAATATCCATTGAATAATAAATAAAGACATGTTGAGAACATAATATAGTAATACCAATAAAAATATCATAATATATATTATTTTTTAATTTATTTAATATATGAATAAATAAATAAAAACAAATTCAAAGGAAAAGAACAATAAGTTACGTTTGGAAATTTCTTTGGGTAGCATCAAAGGCCCCACATTTCACATGTAAAATGCATGATTGTTTATCCCGTGGTCGGGACTTGGTACACAAATACGGAATAAATCAATGTCTGATTCAAGAATCCTCACGTAATTTTATATTTTGAAACTGAAACAAAACGTTCGTGTTTAAATCATGCTTAGATTCTGTAAACAGAACAGTTCAAACCAGTAAATTCGGTGGATTGAATCGAAAACTTAACTATACCATGCTTTTAGTTTAAGGGTTCATAAAAGTATTGATTATCAGTTTGTTCTGTTATAATTACACAAATAAGTTCATATCAGTGTACAAAACGACGGGGGGTCCAGGGGAGCGCCCCCGGTGGCGGGGTCTAAGGGGCGGCAGTTTTCGACCGTTTGAGGAAAAAGCTACAAATTGGTCATTTGATTGGGATACACAGATTTCATAACAGGAATACTCTCTGTTATGAAAAAACCACTGAATTTTATTCGATTGAAATTTCGGTTGTACTATCGAAATATTTCGATCTAAAAGTGATACATGACTTTCAGTGAAATCCAAGCAATCGAAAACCAGAAATTCTAACAGATCATGGTTCTTTTTGAATTTAATATATATAACGATAGATTCAAATCAAGTTAATGTGTTTTGTTGTTGGCTAAACAACGTCATGAACAGGGAACCATTGGTTTCACTCATCCCTCCTTTGTGTCTTATCTTTGAAAACTACGTGCCACTTGACACCCCCGATTCCATTTAAATAAATCCACCAACTTCATCATTATTTCTGTAATGGGTTTTGGCGTTTTTCATTTTTAGATAATATTTTGGAAAATTCTGTTGCTATCGAAAAGATCAATTTATAAAGACGAACAGTGAATGTAAACGTTCCAAGTGGAAAGAATTTGATTATATAACTATGTTGTTTTCAGTATTCAATTAACAAAGAATCTGTTTACATTATGTATGAAGTTAAATATTATATATTTTTTTACTTAGATCGAAG